TAAGGAACACGCGACATCAACTGATTCATTCGGCTACAAGCCATGTCAACTTCACTCTCTCTTTTTTTCGATCTATTTTAGAATATTGTATTATATTATTATATTTTTGTACTTAGACGTAACTTTAAAGTCATGTAGCTCTAAAAGGCTGACAATAGTGAAGCTAATGCCTACTGACTTACATATTAATTAACTAAACAGTAAAGCACATCCCGCTGAGTGGTGTTGCAACTTGTATTTAAGATTATGAATGAATGAGAATAAATGGTGAAAAACAACATTCCCAGATCAAGATGGTTTGCTCATACATAGGTCTTACACAAACCGTCTAATTACAATTTAAGATTAATAATCTTTTTTTTTCAGTCTTGTAATCTTTTTTTTAAATAAATATTAATTTTATTAGTATACATACTATCAGTAATCATATGATTGATTATAATACATATTTACAGATGATGATTAGAAGTCTGTGACTCGTCCCTTTCTCTCCCAATCACTGGATCTAGTAGGTTCAAAACCTCTTGTTCCTCCCACTTCGCCAGTAATTGGGTTAATATTGGCTGGAAATCGTTCTAAAGGTTTTTTCTCTCCTTGGGTTTGAGGTTCTTGCACTTCATATTTTAATTCAAGTTTATCATTACATTTTCCAGCAGGTGTTTTTCCTTTCCTTGCTCCTGATTTTGTGTTTGCACTTTCTGTATAACAGCATGATGGCTGTAATATGTGAGGCAATATTGTTCCTTTTAAACACAGAGTTCTTAAGTGGGCACCTTTTGTCAGAGCGCCCGTTTGTTGTGACACCACTGTATTTTATTACATCAAGTTGTGTCCCCAGTTTTTTTTTTTTAATGGTAACTTTTATTACAATGGTTGTGCATTAAAAATAGCCTACTTACACATAAAGAATAAATAACTTTAATGGTACAATATTTTGACATGTTTTCTATAAAAGTTTTAGTCTCAAAAAGATATTTTAAATTTAACATTATCTTAATAAAAAATGAACTGTAGCAATGTCCCTAATTTTTATAAACAATAATCAGAAATTGAAAATAAAAAAAAAGAATGGTAAAACTGAATACTTACATAATTATTTTAACATATTAACCTAATGAATATTTCAAGTAAGTCAATCTACCATTATCAAAGTAAAAGTGACAAACAGTGTGACAAACAAAAATTAAATAGTTATAGCAGGATTAAGAAAATCATCAGCATATTTATTTGCCAGCCTGTTTCCTTAACATATGATATATCTTCTATTTCAGCCAATCTTTGTTGTGTGGGGTGTATGTACAATAAGACTTCTGAAATACCAAACAAATCAAAACAGTCAACTGATCTATAAACTCAAACAATTGTGAAATGTCATATGTTATAGAAGGATCATGAGGGTGCAGGCGTTTCAAATGTTCTTCAAAAATTGTGCAGATACCTTCTAAACACTCATTTAGAGATTCATAGTCTGAGTAGGTTCTTGTCTCAGGACGCTGATTTGGCTGCACCAGAAGAATTGTATGAGACATTGTAATAAATTGTAAAGACAAAGTGTCTGTACAGAAAGTAGCTGTTAAGACTTTTGGTCTTTATATTTACCGACCAAGTTGTGTCCCCAAATGGAGGGATCCAACATAAAATAACTAATGCGGAAGCAAACGACTATTGATTGCAAGCGATCTAAAAATATATACAAAATACTTTTCCCTAATTTTAATGTATATGTGTGTTAAATTTATAGACAGTAATATTATTTTTGCGTTTACTAGTCCATTTTAAACATTGTACAATTTTTTGTTATACATTTAAAATATAAATTTGTATTCATATAAATGGTTCATAAAATCGTGTTATTTTCTTAGAGTTTATTCACTTTGTGTATCTTAAAAATAATGTTAGCTCCCTTTAATCTACTTAAAAATAATTGAAATGACAGACGCCCTTAATTTATTGCAAAATCAATTCTTCCGCTAAATTTGTTGAAACAAACGTGTTTTAAAATGATCACATTTACATTGTGTTATTACTAAACTTAAATACAACTAAAAATAAAAGCACTGCTTAAAATAATTAGACCAGTTAGGTTTCAATGTAATCAATGTTCTCTGATGTGTACAAATATTAGTTTCAAAATAAATGTTTTTGTTTCCCTATATCATGAAAAAAATCGCTTCTTTAGTTGCTTTTTTTTAATTTTATTTCTTTTTTTTATATTGACTATTTTAAGGCGTGTCTTTTTAACAAATTTTGAAACGACTTGATCCGGTTGTTGTTGTTACAAGTTTTGCTGGAATTTTAAAGCTGAGACATCTCTCACACCTCAACTCGTATCTCAAAGATATCTTTTGTTGTTTTTATTTTTAAATTTAGGTTTGTCCAATTGTGTGAATGTAACAAGCGATCGTATCTTATAACAAATACTTGTACGTACTTTTGCGTGCATGTATTTGTAATACCGATGGTATTTACAGTTTCTTCTAAGTTAATAAATAATATTTGCGACCTGTTTAAAACGCCATTTTATTTTCAATTAATAAACTATAATATTTTTATTTTTATTTTTCAATTGATTAGGCTAATGAGCGTATGTCTTTGCTTTGTTTATTCATTTTATTACAATTACATCTCTAAATTAACCCCGTTACGTTTAGTTTTAAATTAAGGTGAACTAAAGGCAAATGTGTAATTTATTTAAGTATCCTTTTGTTAACCCTACTTAACTCGACTTAACATTTATATTTGTATCCAACAAAAACTATGAATTCTGTATTAGCATTGTAAACACAATATAATTATATCTAGGTAATCTTAAAATCTGTAATCTTAAAATCTGACCTGATGTCGATAACAGAGAGAGGTACTACATCTAAACAACATGGACAGGTGTTACATTTAAACCATGTGCTACGCTTGTACCAGTGTATTAGGACTTGAATGTTGAGTTGTCTCTACCGCTAGGCCACGCTTTCTGTTGTGTTACTAAAATTAAGTGGTAAAGATCGATTGAACATGTATTGTGTCTTACACTGATTTAGTTGCTAGATTAAAAACGAATGTAATTGTAACATGGCAGATTATACAACCACTTAAAATGTGCATGTTTATGATACAGTGTCGGTTCATTTTAGTTACATCAGTTTAGATATATACACAACTCCCTATTCTAGAAATCTTTTATAAATATAATGTGGAACATACGATAATAACAGTTAACTAAACGTTAATGCACACTTAGGTCATTATTATCTAAATGAAAATGTATGCATGTTCCTACTTAGATGCCGCCCCACCCGCCCTCCCCTAGCTACGCCAAAGGTATTCTACACCATGTTGTTCTCTTCTAAACGGTTTTGATGGGGTGGGGGGGGGTGTTGCTAGATTTAGCAATAATTTCTTGTAGATATTGTTGATATATTGCATTTAATTGTTAGAAAGATTTCATTGGATTTTAAAATGGACACATGTTTGATAAGTTTGGTACGTTTGTGTTTACCTGGATCAACTGAGCACACGAAGAAGTTGACCAATCATTCAACATGTTTCATTAATGACCTAATAGGCGTACACGTCATTTTCCTTAAGTTTATACAATTCTATATACACGAAATTTTGTAACCACTTTTTTATATGGTAATAAAACATAGAATAAAGCTATCTTAGCAGCTTTGAAGACATGTACTGTTATATTTAAAAACGTTTTAGTAGAACTCTCTGCTCATTTGGCTAAGACATCATCAGTTGTACCGCTTAATTGTGTTGGAGGCGTGGTCGAGTCGGCAAAAGCTCATGGTTGATAAATTCGAACAAAGTCTCGAGTTCAAAACCCACTGGCAGATAAATCTCGATCCCCTTCAACACTAATAATTAAGAACGAAAAAGAAGAAGAAAAGAAGAGAAAATGATCTTACATATATCAAAAACGAATTGAAATTAATTATAATACCATTTTTGACTAAAATTAAAATTGTATCAATATTTAAACTAAAGCTATTGTTTGAGTTTTACATTATTAACATATATTTTTAATGTTTTTAAAGCTTTAATAAAACTGCAAAAATTTTGTTTTCTTTAAATTTATTTTTTTTAAAGTTATCTCCCTTGCAATAGGCTTTCTTTCGTTTAAACTACGGTATATAGATAGACCATAATGTATCATCGTGTCTAGCTTGGAATCTTTTTAAATGCAAATTAGCTTTTTGGTTTGTGGTGGATACTTTTAGAGGCCCGTGATATAAAATGGTTCGTCATTAGGGTGCTGCTCTTTAGGTGTAGGTCCATGCGGGTTGTTTGAGGACAAGTTTTACTGCAGTTATTGTATTTATATACTTTAATGTTTGCTTGTTTTCTATGATATTGCATTTTATGTTGTTGTGTTTCTCAGAGCATACCTGGAATTGTGCGAGAGGTGCATGTTTTATCAACTTTATGTTGGCGTATTTCTTTATTGTTTAATTAAGTTCATTGCAATTATTGTATACACACATGTAGAGGAGTCTGGATTGGATTGAGGTTTGTGAAGGTGGGGGGGGGGGGGATATTTCAGCTCTTGACTAGCTTCGACTATTTACTGGCTTATTAATTTCTGGGATGAATTCTTTAGAAACATCTTGTCATATCGTCGCCTGTTCTCCACTGTAGTTTCGTTGTTTCCTTCGTTACTGTTACGGGTCAGTTGTAGGTTAGACTAGAATAGGATAGAATGATCTAGAATTAGGGGAGAGTGCGTGTGTGAGTTGAGTTTACACTAGAATATTGTTAACCCCGATGTGTTTGTGTATTGTTATCCCAAGGTCGAATGCGGTATAAAAGCTGGAGTGAATGGTTGTCAGGGGTTAGTTGGTTAGGTCGTGGGCTATTCTGTAATGTGATATGTGAGACCTAATAAACGTATTGAACGTTAACCCGAGTCGTTCTTGAATTCCAAGCTAACCTGGACGTAACAATAAGTGAGGTCGGTTCAGTTGAACCCAAACAACCCACCATTTACCCCCACCCCTTCTCGGCTTGTATAAAATTAACTACTTAATTAAAATAAGATTGATGGTAGCTTACACGTTTAATTAAAAGAATATCAATATTAAATTAACGTGTTGACTTGGTAGACGAGAGTCAGTGTGGGTTACAGAAAGCTGAGCAAGCAAGCTACATTTCAGGTTAGGTAAAGTAAATCTCTTTGTTTTATTACTGACTAGTCTTATGCCTTTCTTTGTGTATAATATAATGTTAATTTTGTTGTTTCACTACTGACTAATCGTAGGCCCATCATTGTTAATTTTGTTCTTTCACTACCGACTAATCTCATGCTAGTCTTTGTTAATTTTGTTGTTTCACTACTGACTAATCGTAGGCCCATCTTTGTTAATTTTGTTGTTTCATTACCGACTAATCTTAGACCCGTCAATGTTAGTTTTGTTGTTTCACTACTTACCAATCTTATGCCAGTCTCTGTTAGTTTTGTTGTTTCACTACCGACTAATCATAGACCCATCTTTGTTAATTTTGTTGTTGCACTACTGACTAATTTTAGGCCTTTCGATGTAGTGTAATGAGAGTGTCCGTTCGGGAGATCGGCCTTCGGGCAAACGGCAAGTGTCTGGAAAACGTCCGACTTTCATCATGGCAACCTTACTACTTACTTACGTAATCCTCATCACTCCCTGTGGAGTATAGGGCAGCAACAAATCTCCGCCATTCCACACTGCCCTGGGCGAGCTACTTTAGTTCATGCCAGGTCTTGCCAATAGCCTGCACTTCTTCTTCCGTCTCTCTCCTCCATGTTCCCAGTAGTCTTCCTTTCTTTCTTTTTCCAGGTGGGTTCTACTTCAGCGCCATGTTGGGGAGTCTTGTTTCGCTCATGTGAAGGACATGACCCAGCCATCTCCATCTCCTCATTCGAATTTCTGAAACAATGTCGTTTAATCCTGTCCTTCGCCATATTTCCTTGTTCGGGACGTTGTCGTCCCACTTTAGTCTGAGGATGCTTTGGAGGGATCTTCTTTCAAAGCCTCTGAGTCGGCTCTCTCCTTTCTTGTTTAGTTTCCATGACTCTGTAGCATAGAGGAGTACAGAACGTACATTAGACTCGTAGATCCTTATTTTAGTTCTCTGCTGCAGTGAGGATGATTTCCATATCTTAGCGAGTCTGTTAAAAGCTAGTGCTGCCATTGCTATTCTGGTGGCCATTTCTTTCTCCATGCTGCCATTTGCTGATATATAGCTGCCAAGGTACTTAAAGTATTCGACCTCTTCTAGCTCCGCTCCATTCGCAAACGTCTTGAGAGCACTTTTGGTTTTTATTTTCATTAGCTTGGTTTTTCCGGAGTTTATCTTTAGCCCAACGCTTTTGGCAATTTGCTCTATTTTTTGTGGTTTTTGCATGGATGTCTTTTTGGGCATGTGAGAGTAAAGCAAAACCATCAGCAAAGTCACAGTCCTCTAGGTGGTTGGTAAGTTCCCAAACAATTCCTCTTGGCTTATCCTCAGTGGCTCTTCTCATAATCCAGTCTATTACCACAAAAAAGATGACAGGTGAGATGACACAGCCCTGTCTGACTCCTGTTTTTACCTTGAACCATTCACTTTGCTGATTTTCATGTCGCACACAACATTGGTTGTCATAGTGTATATCATTCAGTATGTTTATGACTTTTCCTGGAAAGCCATATAGCTCTAGTATCTTTCATAATGATGGATGGTGGATACTATCGAATGCTATCTCGAAATCTATGTAGTTGATGTAGAGAGACGAATTCCACTCCAGGGACTGTTCCACTATAGTGCGCAAGACAAATATTTGGTCGTTACATGACCTGTTGGCCCTGAAGCCAGCTTGTTCTTCACGAAGGATCCCATCAATTCCTTTCCTCATTCTTTGTAATAGGACTCTGCAGAAGATTTTTCCTGGTACTGACAGAAGGTTAATGCCTCTCCAGTTCTCACAAACATTAAGGTCGCCCTTTTTGGGTAATTTGATAATGATTCCCCGTTTCCAAGAATCTGGGACTTCATTTCATACTTTATTGAAGATCCCTGATAGAGTTTCTGCACCTATTTTTGGGTCTGCCTTTAGCATCTCCGCAGTGATTCTGTCCTCTCCTGGAGCCTTATTGCTTTTTGTTTTTTGGATAGCTTCTATTATTTCTTGTTCTAGGAAGTGTTCTCTATGCATTTCAAAATGTATGTTCATGTCAGTGAAGTCACCAGTTTCTTCTGGGTCTGGTCTGTTTAGGGTCTCTTCGAAGTATTCAGCCCATCTTGTCAATTGATGTTTCTCCGTTGTAAGAACTTTTTCGTTTTTGTCCTTGATAGTAGATGATATATTTGCTATTTCTCCTGTTAGAGTCCTGATGATCTTGTAGACTGTTCTGCTATCTCCCTTATCAGCTGCAGCCTGTGCTTCTGTGGCCATTGTGTCTACATAGTTCATTTTATCCTTCTTAGCATTCCTTTTTACCTCTTTTTGCAGTCTTCTATATTCTTCATCGTTCCGTACCCTGCTTTCCATGGTTCCAGATAGTGTTTTAATTTTTGGTTCTCTTCTCTTTTCAATGAGATTCCAAGTATCGTTTGAGATCCATTCCTTCCTTTGTTTGTTCCTGTGTCCTAGTATACATTGGCATGTTTTCGTGTATACATCCAGGATCTTCTCGCAATGTGTATTGGTGTCCTCTTCTGATAGGTTCTCGAGTAGACTAAATCTATGTTTTAGTTCGATTGCGAAGTTTGCCTTAATGGTGGGATCTTTTAGTTTAGCTGAGTCAAATAGCTGGTGGTTTACTTTCCTGTCGACTCTCCTAAACCTGAGCTGTAGCTTGCACAAAACTAGATTATGGTCGCTACTACGTCAGCTCCTCTTATTGCCTTTACATCCCTCATGGATCTTCTCCACTTTTTATTTATAGCAATGTGATCAATTTGATTGATGGTTCGCTTATCTGGGGATATCCATGTTGATTTGTGCATTTCTTTGTGCTGGAATAAGCTGCCACCTATAACTAGGCAATTTTTTAAGCAAATCTCTTTGAATCTTTGACTTTGTTGTTTACCTCCCCCAGACCCTCTTTACCCATGCAGAGTTAGTATCCTTGGTTGTTGGACCCTATCTTCGCACTAATGTCTCCCATGACTATTAGAATATCATGTTGTGGAGTCCTGTCGATTTGGTATTATAGAGTGTAGAAGAACGTGTCTTTGTCTTCATCTTTTGCTTGTTCTGTCGGGGCATAGCACTGGCTTATGGTAATCTTTACATGTCTTGAGTAGAATCTAGCTCTAAGAATGCGAGAATCGATTGGTTCCCACCCTATTAGACTTTTTCTTAATATTTTATCCATGATAATACCAACTCTTTCTTAGTGCTGACCATCAGATCTCCCAGAATAGATTATAGATTCTCCTAATCCGAGTGTAGTCAGGCCTGAGTCTGTCCATCTCATTTTGCTGATACCCAGGATGTTGATCCTGTATCTTGACATTTCCTTGACCACTTGAGCTGTTTTGCCAGTTTCGTACATGGTACGCACATTCCAAGCTCCTATTCGTGTAATAATTTTGGGGGTCACTAAGGACTGTTTCGGAGTAGAGACTTCCTTGCGGCTTTCATCTAGACTCGTCGTATCAGGCAAATCTTCCTCAATCCTCAGATGCTCTCCCATGATGGTTTGATTTAGATCTGTTGCTGTTTCTGTAGCGCTTTTTACATGGTGGGTTGCTAGCCCAAACCCAAAACCCTCCTCCTTTCCCATTCTGGACTTGGGACCAAACAATGGCGGAGTTAACCTTACAACACACGTCTGAAAAGAAATCACACCTCAACAAGTTTTGTCTTGTAAAAACATCAGTTTCACTCTATAGTATTTACTGTGCTCAAACCTCATGTGAATAAAAAAATGCATGAATTATTAAAGCTAACGTCAAAATAATCATTACAATGAATTTGAACCATGCACCTGAGTTCCGTACCCACGCCAGTCGACATGTTATCGAGAGCGCTGTCGTCTCGGCCAGGAAATCATTTTGGGGAAATATTTCTCCGTCAACGTATTGAAGGGAGGTTGACTCTTAGAACCATGAAACAAAATATTATTTTTAGTCAAATTATATCCTACTTTAACACATGAAATTGCTACCGAACAATGATTTATGTGAATATTTAAGAAACCCGGGATCCGAACTCGAAACTTTCTGGTTAGAAGTAGTATGCTACTGTTATGAATCAAATGTTGCTCTCCATTTCTAAATGATATTCAGACAACATAATTTGAAATATATTACAATTTTGTCATTATAGTAGGTGTAGTCAGATGATAGAGCTTGCGACCGCTAAACCGGTGTCAAGTCTGAAGAGTGTTCCTGAGTCCACCCAGCTCTAATGTGTACCTGTTAGGGAAACAAAGGCGGCTGGGTATAGTATGGCTACACTATCCTCCCTTATGTCGTGGTCATTTAAACAGAAGAACTCTACGTAGTCTGCCACATGTGTCTTGCGAAAAAATTGGAACAGATGATAATAATGAAGTAAAGAACATGTATATGCCTATTGATAATTGAATCAATTGATTCTTTTATTTTCAGCCATGTCGCGTGTGTTGCTGTCACTGATTGTCTTCACGTACGTACTTGACGTCGAATCTGGCTGCAGCAATTCCGACTGGACGTTAAGCTTTGACGTGCAAGGTACGTCACAATGCGCCAACCCCGGTTACTTTATCAAGGGCTTCCTTAGGACCTATGCCGATGAAAACGATGAAATATATCGCCTGGAAGGAGCTGAATGCTGCTATCCGACTTGGCCATGGGAAGGCAACGACTTGGTGAAAGTAAACGCGAACTGGTGGGGTGCTCTTGATAATCCCCACAGTTGGGCATTATGTCCTACAGGTTATTTTCTTTACGGGCTGTACAGGACTGTAGGTAGTAAACTATCAGGACTCCATAATATTGAAGAAGGACTGTGCGCTAAACCCAGAAACCACCCAGATGCATACGGTCACTGCTACACCCAGGATATTATTCTGTGTTTTGATAATATAGGTATGTGCCGCTGTAAAGACGATTACTTTGTTGTTGGTCTGTACCGCAGCGACTGTGACAAGCTGCTGTGTTTGGAGTATTTACAGTGCTGCAAATTTAGGTGAAAATATCTCACGGAAGTGGATCGACCACACTGAATAAAAACAAAACGATTTTGAGTTAATACTTTCTTTAAAAATAATTTCGAGTATCAAAAAATATTTTGTTGAAATCTAAAATCAAACTTCTAAATAAAATATTAAAAAAAAGTTATTCTTTTTACTATTTTCTTTGAAAAGAACTACATCATGCCAACAAAGTTTAATATCGGCAAGTCACACATTTACACACAACATAGCTTATTTGTTTTGTTTTTAAATGGTCAACAGTTCTCTTAGCACATGAAGTCTTATTAACACTTTAACCCATAAAGTTAGTGGCGTAGCGCGGTCGGTGTCAACCGGTGCGGCACTTAATGGTGTCACCCCCCCCCCCCCCGAGGCGTAGCGACCTTTCCCTTGGAGAAACTTTCAATTTTCGATTTGCGCCCCTCCTCCTCAAACTTTCGATTAGCACCTCTTAAAAGACTATTTAACACTCGAATTAATCACTTAAGTGGAATTATCATTTTTCTCTATATATTTTTCTATTTTTTTGCCTTGGTGTCACCCACCTAGATTGTGTCACCCGGTGCGGTCCGCCCCCCGCCCCCCCCCCCCCTTTGCTACCCCTCTGCATAAAGTAAAGTTATATATTTATGAACATTGCGGTCTATTTCAACAGTTCAAGTAGAGTTAAACTGTTCCCCCACCCAGGCCTTTAAGATACTGTGTATACACCTGATATGCCTAGCTGTCTTGCTATTTTCTTGACTTGAGCCAGTCACGATTAAATGCTGGATGGGCTCTATATCGAGGACGCTGTGACTTTTGGTCCAGTCCTACATCTTTATCTTGCTTTAAAGTATAATACACAACTCACTCAATATGTACCCGCTGCAATTCACACTACAAAGACAAATCCAAACAAATGGTTACTTTCAAGATAATAAAAACAACCACCATTAACACTTCAAACAAGCCAAGAGTTAGGGCAATTTTTTTTTTCTCATGAGGCCTGCTAAGGTTAAAATGTAAACAAAACACTAAACTAGCTAAGAGTGCAACAGTCGTATACATTTATTTTATTTTAATTAGAAAAAAAAAAAACATAAAACAAATTTATTACATCAAGTACCATAAAAAACGTATTTAAAAACAAATTACATCTTTTAATCAATACTAGATTGTGCAAAAACATGTCTATTTAATTTTATATGTAATAAAGTATGATTTTACTACTTAGTATGATGGTACTGGGAATTTCAGTTGGTCTCGACTTTTTTAATAAACGAAGACCCTTAATGAAAACACAGATCTCAATCTAGGTATAAACATTTTTTACGCTGAATGACTTAGGGCTACAATCAAGGTAACGAGAACATCCTATCAGTACCACTGGGCGCGCTACATGCTACACTTTGTGTGACAAAATAAACAGGGGAGATGACCATGTGCGGTAACGTTGTTAGAGTAGCGCCCCCTGTCGTAATGTTTTCATTTGTTGAACTGTGAATGTCAGCCAAGAATGGTCACTTGGGATCAGAACATATAATACTATACCCCCCCCCCTCAACCCCAGAATACACACCCATGACCCTCCCTCACATTTAAAACCCATCTTATAAGGATACCGTCTCAAAACTAACTTGAAAATAGTATTGTGTTTTATTCATTGTTTCGTTCAACTATTTTTCTACAGGGGGGGGGGGGGGGCGACTAATCAGGGAGAGGGCGTACTTAAGTATTTGTGGGGACGGGATAAAGAAATCTTTTTCAATATGACTTATATATTTTATTCTATTTCGTCTGAACGGGAGGGGAGGGGGGGAGAAGATTGGCTGCAGTAGGCTTGCTTTGGGTGGAGGAGGGGGCACTAGACCCCAGAAGTGATGCCTGAAAGAAACTCTGGTTTTAATGAAACACTAATGATTATTCTCAGAAGTGCATAAATCTGTATTGATCACAACCTGCGCTTATAATCGTAACAGCAGGGACATTTAAATGACAATAACAAACTAAAGAAGATGGCAACCAAACTCGCAAACCAAATGGTTTCCTTGGATAAATACACAGTGTTAGGCCCACCGCAAGGATCATCTTCGTCATAGTCAAAGTATTCATCGTAATTTGTACTCCTATTGCTCTCCGGACAGTCTGGCTTCTTGGGCGGCTGGGGGCCGTTGCAGAAGTCCTCTCTGCAGAGGGTGTAGCAGATGTAGTGGTTGACGGTGGAGACCCACTCACAGGTGGTGTAGTTGTTGGCGGGCAGGTTGTAGAACTTCTGGCCCTCGTCGACGATGATGAAGCCGTTAAGACTGGTGCAGTCGCGGTTGAAGACGGTCTGTTTGCCTGGAAAGTTGAGATGTATGAGTGTGTTGGTGGTTTTATTGGTAGGCCAATTATAAGTTGTTACGTCAGTCATAAATAGCAATTATATGTTGTAAATGTCAGTCATGCTATATTCTCGTCAGTCATTTGTTAGAGCGTCGATGAAAGGTTTTAGCGCCAGTGTTTCTTCCAGACTTTTTTCTCCGGGGAAGGGGGGGGGGGGTAGGGGCACGATATTTTCAGGGGGGGGGGGGGGTGGTAACAGTAACAGTATTTGATTTCTATATAAAATCCATGTAATTCGTGGGAGGGGGGGGGGTGGTCGTCTAATATATATGAAGGTATCAAGGGTTAGTCAGTTGTACTAGCGTCAGTCAAATGATTTTTCATCAATCAGTTGCACTAGTGTCAGTCAAATGATTTTGATTTTTCATCAATCAGTTGTACTAGTGTCAGTCAAATGATTTTTTCATCAATCAGATGTACTAGCGGTCTCTACCTCCAGTCTCCCAGGTTTCTATCATACAACGGTCCCACTCCGGGTTCGAATCCGTGCAGTTCTTGGCGTACTGGTAGCTGCTCTCGTTACCAGCGGTAACGTTGATGAGACCCTCAATTTCAATGACACAGCCGGATGACATGTTAGTGGTACCACATTGGTAGCACATGATGGTTTCTGGGGAGTGGATATAGGTAGCACATTGGTAGCACATGATGGATTCTGGGGAGTGGATATTGGTAGCACATGAGTAGGGGGGTGGAAGCAGGCGTTGTAACTGAAATAGAAATATTAACAGAGAGTGATATTTCAACGCCAAGGGTAGACAAAGGTACAGAAAATAGTCCAAGTAAAGACAAGCAGTCAGACACCAACGGGTTTCGAACCTACCATTCCACACGGCACCTATCGCCATCGCCTTCCATGCAACAAGTCAGACGTGTTACCGCTTCTACCACTAGGCCCTACAAAAATAAGGCTTTCGTGGCAGACCACTCTCTTGGCTTGAGCAGGTAGACGCGGGACGGCTTTGACCCTTGACCCGAAAGGTCAGACCGCTAGCTTTCATAAACACAACAAGGACCATTATTCGACCATACAAACGACACACACAAATACCGAGACGATGGCACAGACAAATAGTAGCTTCCTTTAAATGGTAAATCAGAAACTTAATTGGCAGAACAAAACGGAAAATATAATGACTCATAAAAAGAATGTAAGGCCTATACAGTGCCGGCGCTACCTATAAGGCAAACTAGGCAGTCGCCTAGGGCGCAACCCTTACGTGGGCGCAAAATATGTAAACGCCTTTATGAAAAAATACCTAATAACTTTGCGTTGTGATCTATTTCGGTGCCCAGGACGAACTATGAATTTGGCGCCACCTCTTTAAATTAGGCATATAAATAGTTATTCGCGCTGGTGAAAATGCGCGTCCCCCCTTCCCTAATTTGGACAGGACGGGGCGCTTTTTACCTGTCACTTTGTCTTTTTACTTTGGTGTTCCACAAATGATATAGAAAACAAGTAAGTCCATAATGCAAAGTAGTAGTCAACAATTTTTGTTTTGACTGTATACAATTTAGTAACGAGCTTTTTATATTATGTCTACTACGTTTGGCGCTCCTTTTGGTTCGGCGCCTGTGAGGGCCGCCCCACACGCCTTCCTCTAGCTATGCCCCTGCTAAAATAATGAGATTTTTATTGTATATAATCTAAATCTTTTAATTTCGACAATTCCAGATGATTAACTCATTCTAATGTTGACTTAGTGATCGCTCCATCGCGCATGTAATTTTGATTTTAAATAGGGCTTGTAAATCTCGTTTTCTCTCACGTTGAATTAGAGATCTCGTTAGCTAGGGAGAAATTTAGATTATTAACGTAAATCAATTTTTGGCACAGGTAGAATTCTTCTACATATCCTGGATATGAGTATACAGTCTTAGGAAGAGAGGCTTAAACAATTCGGACATAATATTCTATCTCGCTTCCTTTATAATATATCCATTATCAACAATAGGATATACATTATTCACAATAAACAATTATTATGTGTAAAATTGTAAACAAAACCATATTGACAGTCAATTAAAAAAATGTTCAGATCAACTTAAATCCAATACACGATTAACATTTTTCTGTGAGATATTTTGTCTGAGATATTTTGTCTGAGATCATTTGTCCATGATATGATTTGTCCTGATATCTTTTGTCCTGGTAACTTTTGTCCTGATATCATGTGTCCTGTCACCATATATATCTATATCTATATATATATAAAAAGCAATGTATGTGTGTGTGTGTGTGTGTGTCTTTTATGCATTACCACACCTCTTACCACATCGCCGTGAAACTTCGGGAAGTTGTTGAGAATATTCCTGGGGAGGTTTCTGCGAAAAAAAATATTTCAAATTCGCAGGGGTGGCGCCCCGGCAGGGCGCGATTTGTTTTTTCTCTATATACGGTATATAAAAATAAAAATCTATTTTGATCTCACACTGTTCATCCAATAGGCATGAAACTTTGGGGAGTTCGATATAACCCTCTAGGGAAGGGATTTGTAAAAAAATAATTTTTAATTTCGCAAGGGCGGCGCCACAGGAGGGTGCGATTTTTCTCAATATACGGTATATAAAAATAATAAAAGTGAATAGCAGTGACACCGTTCATCCGATAGGCATGAAACTTTGGGGTGTTGATAAGGACACTCTGAGGAAGGGTTCTGTAAAAAAATCATATTTAATCAGCTGCCTAATGACTTGGCCTCTAAGGTTAGGAAGACCTCTGCTATTGATGTGACTTGTATCGTGTTGGTGTTAAAAAGATCCGGACAGTCATCT